ATATAGTTTAATCTTCCTCCACTGCTGTACGTCTTTGTTTTCATTGGCAAATCATCCCAATGATCTGTTCATATGAGCCTGCGTCTTTAGTTCGGTGGGTGATTGTTACTCTAGGATAAAGCATTATGAGTGGTCATTACAAATAGAAAAACAATATATAAGCTCAGTCCCTGTACCTTAAAATGGAAATGGCAATTCTGCTCTGAATAATACACAATGTACTTAATGGGAACTGTTAAATAGCTGCGGTGTCTATTATTAGTGCTGAACTCTTTACTGAGCTTTTTGCTCCTCCTTCTTTCTGATAATCAGAGTTCTGTATTTAAGATGTCACTTCCCTTCAACAGTACAATGTCAGGGTTTCTCTGGAGGCCTCCCACACCTGCTTATGACTTTCAGCGAAAATGTGTCTGTTTTGTGCTTCCTTTTTTCAATTTTGTCTATGAAATTGTTAACAATAGATTGTGACTCGGCTTTGTCCAGAAATGAACTAGAGCAAAACATGGTGTACTTCTTACAGTGAAAAAAAGTATTTTTCCCTTTACATATTTCCTTTTTTTTTTTTTTTTTTGTAACACTTCAGATCATCAAACTATGGTTAATATCAGACCTGTGTACATTTTCCATGTGAAGATTTCAGTTAAGGGAAGAAAAGCTGTCCAAGCCAACTCTGAAAAAATAATTGTCCCCTTAAGCCTAATAACTGGGCCACCCTTGGTGACACAAACTGCCATCAAACGATTGCAACTTCCTACATAACTTTGAATTGTTTTACTTTAGGGACATGTAGAGCATGAATGGCTTATTTGAGATGTTCTGTGAGGACTTGTCACTGTCCTGTTGCATAACTAAGTGCACCTCTCAATGACTTAAAAAAAAACAAAAGCAAGGTTTTGGAGTGGACTAAAACCCAACTGAGGGTTTTTTTTTTGTCATTTATAGGTACTCTTGCTGGTACGTTTCATTTTGTACCTAAACATCCTGTCGCAAACTGACAGCTGGACATTCTCCATCTTACCTCAAGTCATTCAGATCCTGAATGACTTGAGGTCAAAATATAGTTTTGACCTCAAAATAGTTTCAAAACTATATTTTGTATTTTCTTAGGCCGTCTTTGTTTGCTAATAAAACAGTCATTTAAGAAATCTCAAACTATGGAAACACTTATTTTTTCTTTTCCTGGACTGTGTTGGACTATTTTGAAAAAATCAGAGTTGCACAAAGGAATGCTTTTGTGAATACACAAGAGGCATCATCCCCAACAGCAAAGCAGCGGATGGGGACGTGAGTCAACAAGTGAAGGCTGTTTCATTTTGCAGGCAGGAGACACTTCCTCTTTTCTCCGAGCGCGGGTCCTTTGGTGGACACGGTCAGGCTGCCATCAGCATATCAATGCAGGCCCTTTTTTTTCTTATCCAACAGAAGGCTTGGGCAAACTTAACATGCTTTCAGCACTGTATCAATAACACTTTGTTGCAGAGCTGTGCTAAAAGATGTTTCTAGATACTGAGAGGCAACCAGACTTTCTGTGCTGGGCTGGCGAAGAATCGATTGAGAACGGGTTATGATTGCAGACATAAATAAGAGGGCATAAAGTTCAAAGACCTCATTCCTGAGGATGTGATGATGTAAATTGAGGTATTACCTACTCGCAGGTCCTACAAATCTCGCCTCTGGTTTTATTTTGCGTCATTGAATCAAGTGGGCTGGTCTGAGTTGCTGCACCTCTGGTAGCTTAGAGGCCATTGATGCCGGGCGGTCGGCTCGGCCAACGCCAGGAGTCTCGGGCAGCTGCTGCTCCCATTCAACCCGAACGTAGCACAAAGTCTCACTGTGGGCTGATTGGCTCATCCTGGTGTGGGAACGATTTGCACTAGTGTTTGCTCAATCGTCCTTTGATTTGTTTGGTGTGTGGGTAAAGGAAAGAACAAAGGGGGGAAATGTAAATCTATTGAGGCAGCGTCAAAAAATTGTAAGCGCAGACGTTTATGTTCGATTGTGAGCCGTTTGAATGCAAAGAGTTCAGGCTCAGTATTATTGTACCCATATGTTACAGTGGCTATTGTACAAGTGAAATATGGTCCCTCTTAAGAGGAAATTACACAAAACTCACTTCCCTTGTTGAGACTGCAAAGGAAATGTGAAAACTGTTTGGACTCAATGACGCATCTTGAGGCCAGTGTGAACCAGCAATGCTTGTTGTGCTCTGTTGATTTTCTTATTTAAGATGATTGAAACACCCTTAATCTGTGACATTCTAAATTAAATCTTAAATAATGTCGTCAGCATTCTTATTTCTTTTGTCTTCATGAGCTCGTGTAGCAAGAACGAAGGCAGCCTCCATGTAACCAGGCTGCATCGCAGCCCATCTTCAGCGTTCATTGGACAAAATGAGCTACAAACCTTGGTTGCTGCAAAACAGTCCTAACCACTGTTTGCGCTGAAGTGCAGCCTTGTAGCAGGAAGGTAGTTATTTTAAAAAATAAAAAAAACATCACCATTCTATCTCAGGACAACACAGACACACGGGACAAACAACATGGACTGTAGGGACGGAGATGTATGTAAGACAAGCTGCTTGTCTCTGGGATGGCTTCATTGAAAGATTTTGTGCAACCAAACAATAAGTGCTTGTTTTGATAAAGCAGATGGCCTAATTTAACTCGGTGTGACTGGCCTCTGTGGTTTGGATCAGAGGAAACACTGTGGAGGTTTCTTTACTGCTTTACTTCTTCTGCACGCCCCGAACAGGACAGTGATGACACTGCTGCACTTTAGAGTCTGAACACCAAGCAGTTCTTCTGGTCAATGTATGGACTGAAGCCCAATCGGTGTGGATGGTCTGAAGTTCGGAGCCGGGTAGGTGTGAGCAGCAGCAGCCTGGTTCCTCCTATCCTCGTGCTGCATCTTCACCAATGAATCACGCCTGCTACTTAACCTGAATTTCACTTAAGTTAGATTTGCCTGAATGTGTGTTAATCCGTCATGGGGTGTGTGGAAGATGTAGTTTTCAGGACAGTAGCCTTTTGTGATGTAGGTAAAAACTTTCTTTTTCCCTCTGATATTTTCCTGGGTTTAGTTTGACTGATTTGAGACTGAGCAGCCAGCGCTTCCACAGTGTTCCATCTTTGCCCTTCCCGTTCCTCCCCTTCTCTCCCTCCAGTGACTTCCAGCTCATATACTGGAAGAGGAGGAGCAGACTCTGTGGGAAGCGAGGTTATGAAACAAGATCTAACATTCTGCTGACCCGAACTGATCGCAGCACCCTTCCGGTGACAGTGACAGGATATATGTTTGGCTTTGTTCAGCGGACACTAGAGTTTCAATCTGTTTGGTGATATGACTCGACTCTGACTGAAAGACCGGTTGAGTGGTCTGGGTTTTTTTTCCCCCTCTCAATTATAAAGTAAAATGTCAACCAGATGCTGTTGAAATGCAGTTTATCTGAAAGCTTTCAGCAACAGTCCAAACTCTGATGCAGTACAGGCATATTATAACTTGCCAAATATTTCATTTCTGGTTTTGAGATTAACACTTTATTTGATGGGGTGTGCATAAGACTGACATGATACTGATGACATCTTTCATGAACATGAAGGAGTCTTTATGAATGTCTCACTGTCATGAAGTATCATTTGGTAAATAATGACACTTTTAATGCAAAGTTGCTCTAAAAGTTGCATAAGAAAGTCCATTAGAAGGGCCAACTTTGCATGATTTTGTAAGTAATGACATTTTAATGCAAAATTGGCATTTTTAATGGACTTTCAAGGCAACTTTTAGAGCAGCTTTGCATTAAAAGTGCCATTACTTACCAAATGATACTTCATGACAACTGTCAGACATTCATAAAGACTCCTTCATGTTATGTCATGTTTATGACGGAGTCATGTCAGTCTTATGCACATCCTGTCAAATAAAGCATTTCCTATTAATTTCATCATGCATCTTTTTTGATTGATTCTGATTTTGCTTGTTTTATAACATGCATAAGATAATCTTAACACGTTCTGCAAGTTTTTTGATAAAGGTCACATTCAGAAGCAAACTAGAGAATTACAAGATCATCCCTTTATCTATTGAATTATGTCCTTTGCCTCTTTCTGATATTTTTAGGACTGAAAAAAGTGCCATGTTGTCTCAAAACATTTGTAACTATTGGATGAATTGGGTGGGAGGTGGTGTAACAACCCTACATTATTTTAATATTTGACCTTCGGATAAATGGAGCCAATAGAGAAATGACTGGTCGATTTCAGTCTGCGGCAGATTGATTACATCGCTCTTAATGAATCTGTGTTCGTCTGACAGGCTACAGATTAGTATCAGTCGTAACTGTTTGTTTGCCAGAGTTGAGTAGAAACCTGAAGTTTCCTCTGCCAGAAGAGGCGAATAAGGTCTTAATTTGAATCCGAGACTTCAGCTTGAGACCTGGCTAGTGTTTTCTTGTAGATTTCACAGCGGAGAGCGATGACACACTGAGATATTCCCCTGCTCATCCACACGCGGTTCATTGTCGGTGCCATCCCATTAAGTCTATCTGCTCACAAGTCAGCTGTGTTTCCTCAAGAGTGGCCCCGAGGAAATGTGGCCGCCAGCAACTCTAATCCGTTTGTTTTCTTCTGTCAAATCATGCAATTCACAAACTTATAGATTAGAAGTCACGTTACATCTCCACGATTTAATCTAGAGGCTGTTTCTGCGTGGCTAGGTAAATTAGGAGAAATCTGACGGCGCGGTTTTCTTTCGTCTGTGAATCTACTCCAAATCAGCGAGAGGCTCAGGCTTCAGAGCTGCTGCCTTGAATACTAACTGCAGAAAATGGGTCAATCAGCCTCTTCTGGAAAATCTCTGCTGCCTTCCTATTCCCAAAGCATTACTAAAGACTTTTTTTTTTTTGAAAGCACTCTTTTAGTAGTGGAAAGATGTCAACTTTTCACAGTGAAATACTGGAGTAAAAATCTGTCGGCTGATTTCCTTTTCTCTTCCTCCTTTTGCAGGCTGTCAGCATCAACAAGGCTATCAACACACAGGAGGTCGCCGTCAAAGAGAAGCATGCCAGGAATATCCTCACATTGTGTTAGTGTGTGAAGGATATGTCTGAAGAGAAGAGCTGTGTTTATTTCTACATGTGTGCAGAGGGTTACATTAGTGCAAAACAACAAACTGTGTAACCCCTTCTAGTTCATGTGGTTTTGTTGTGCAGCTGATATAAAAAAACAGCATGCTGCACTTTTTTTTTTTCTTTTTTTACTTATTCTGATCTCTCTTGGGGCATGTTAAAATAGTCTAACACAGACTATACAAACAGTTGTGTGTGTATATATATATATATATATATATATATATATATTATTATTTTTTTTTAAGATTCTTGTGATTTAATTCAGTTTATTCAGCTCCAATTCCCATCTCAAGGCAGTTTATGAGATGAACCAGTTATACAGAAACCTTTTGCAAATTCAGCTCAGATCAATCTGGGTTATTCAGTAGAGTCAGAAACACAGAAAATTAAATTCCAGTTACTTTTAGGGCCACAATGAATGAATGATTGATTATTCTATTGACTTTTTCTGATGATTAATCAATTAATGGGGTAAAATAATTGGCACACTCTGCAACTGTAATCAAAGTTAATTGCAGCGAAAGATCCTGTCACTCGGGGTCCAAGAAAGCAGCTCTGAGCTAAGAATGTCTTCTCGATGGCTATTGGTCGATTATTGAATCTGTCTAGGAGAAAAGCTCTTTAAAACTAAAGTGAATCAAGACTATCTGGGGGGGAAAAAAAAAAAAAAGAAGCACATAAAGTTAATTATTGCAAATTCAAGCACTTAAACACAGCATCGCTTTGCTAGGCGTACCTTCTTTTCATCTCTGAAAAGAAGGTACTCCTGGCCCAGAATAGCCAAACTGTTTTAATGTTTGACCTGTCAACAAGGTTTATACACCTCATTTATCTGATCAGAATCCCACTGTTGTGGACAAAACAAACAAAAAGTCCACTTATAATCTTCAACTCCCTTCAGAGCAAGAGAAGTGAGAAAATATCAAAATCAAATGTAATGTGAAATATGAGTGGTCCTTGACTGCTGCTCCCACCGTGCATCTTGGGGACCCACCACGAGAAGGGCGCCCACACTTTCTGGGCGGCCGTCAACCGGCTGCCTCTCTCCAGCAACGCCGTGCTCTGCTGGAAGTTCTGCCACGTCTTCCACAAGCTGCTGCGGGACGGACACCCCAACGTAAGAGCAGAGGACACGCGAACATCGGGGAAGAACGTCCGTGGTTTCTGCATGTGTTGGAAATCTGTTTGTGCTTCCACCTGCAGGTGATAAAGGACTCCATGAGGAACAAGGCAGATCTGGCGGATATGAGCAGGATGTGGGTAAGAAACTACGCCGAGGTGATTATGTCATGCAAAGATCTACGGCAAGCCGTCACACGTTGGGAGAATTTGGCCTCAAGCCCTTCGGGATTTAATCGTCTGCTGAATTTCTGTTTGATCTTTAAAACACAGGTGGTTACATCCATGAAGTACAGGAGACTAATCGTTTACTCAAGTAGCTGAAATCTCCCTTTATCGAGTCTTTAATTCAGCTTTTAACTTGTCATTCTGTTAAGAATTTAATCTGCAGTTACCTGGAGCATAGGTAATAACACTGAAAATAATTAATGTTGTGATAATAAGCTACAGCACAGTTTTGTTTGTAAAATTTTAGTTGCATATTTTGGTGAACAGTTTTCAATCCCTTTAACCATGAAATAATGTATTTTTTCTGTTCTCTTAAGCAGAACAGCTAAAATGCTGAGTATCACTTCATTTCATCTAGACTTGGCTGTTATCTGTACATTTTGTAAAAGAGAGAAAACGGCAAAAAATGAATTTACCTAAAAATGCTTCAGACACTATCTAAAATTATATATTTAGATTCCAGCTGCTCAAAGTGGGAACTGAAACTTTTCTTTCTTTCAGTACAAAAACAATGGCCAAATTTGCATATTTCTATTAATAAAAGGTTAGTTTGCCTCGGTAGGTTTTTGTTCCTGTGGTTTAAAACATTTGATTTTAAACTAGATGGGTTTTTCCATCTGACAAACCAAGAAACATAGATTGAAATAATATAATTGGTAATTTATTGGATGGTGCTACAGATTAGATGTAATACTTCCACTCCTTTGAACATGTTTGTTTTAAATGCATTTTATGTATATATAGATTTGTTTCATTCAATGAAGTCAAACTAACACACACACACACATTCATTCAAGCCTTTCTCCAGACGTTTTAAGTTATAGCCTTCAATGTATTCTTTCAGGTCTTTATATGATGGACTAACACACATTGCTGCATAATTATCAGCTGAAAGGGAATATTACAATAAGTTCTTCAAAACTATCAATCCAGTTCTGAACTAACTATCCAGTGCAAACAGCTGTTTCTTACTCATATAATTACTAACTGCAGTCCATTTGATGTAATTCATCATTAAGCTGTTCTGTGAAAACCTCTATGGGTTTTATTGGGAGAACATTAGTGAACAAACGGCATCAGGACACCAAGGAGAGAACGTTTTGACTGCAGTTCAATCTGTTATCTGAAAAGAAAAAGCTAAGCTACCCAGTCGAAGTTCAGACCTGAATCCAAATGAAAATCTGCAAGATTTGACGACGCTCTTTATTCCTTCTAACTGAGCTTGAGCATTTTTCCCCCAAAAAAGAATTGGCAGAAAATTGCAAGAAGTCTCTTGATGCGCAAACAGACATGGACCAAAAATACTTGGAGCTGTTATTGCAAGAAGGCACACAGTTGGAGTCTGACTTTAATGTTTAACCAGTCAGTTTCGCACTGTTTCATAGTCGACATTCCCAGAAATTCCCAGCAAAGTTTTCGAGTGAAAGTCAGTCATGTTGACGAGAGCAGATCACTGTTAAATGTTGGTCTGCAGCCATCAGCAGTGAGAGACGGTTGTGGACAAGAACTGTGTGATTATGATCGTCGGCGCGCCCAAGTATTGTGGTTAATGCGCTGACATTTACAGACGCTCCAGGGGAGGGCTTCTTCAGCAGTCGAGCCTTCAGAGCTCGTTAAACATTATTGGAGGAGCGCACTTCATGTAGATGGCATTCTTTAATTTTAATAGCGTTTGCATTGTCCATTTAAGTCATTCGCCACAACATCTCGGGTTAGTAGTTTATTGGGTTAGCTTGTTTGAAGTGAAATCTTATTTCTATGAGAGGCCCCATGGGCCAAAACTTACAAAACTCTCTTACATTCACTGTCAAACTCTGTTGCATTCACTGTCAAACTCTGTTGCATTCACCGTCAAATTCTCTGACAGTTTGATTGCAATGGAAGTTAACTTAAAATTTCAGTTTCTGATTGGACCCCAGGCAGGCTTTTCAAAATAAAAGCACACCTCCGGTTTATGTTTGTTTCATGTTTCTCTCCTGCGGCTTTAAAAATGTAAAACTTTGTGTTAATTGATTTGCTAAATGTTAGAGCCATAAAAAGGAAATATTTTAGTTATTTGTAAGATGGTTTGTTTGTATTTTATAAAATTTAGTTAGGACGATTGATATTTGTTTAGGCATTTTTACTGTGCAATTCAGTTTTATTTTGAAAGGTCTAGGGAATGACACAGATATTGGATCTGTTGCCATAACACTAAAGGAAATGATGTATCTGAAAATAAATTAAAACATATTATGTTGGCAAAAGATTCTGTAAACCACATATGTGCTACCTCAATCAAAATTGCTGACATTTGATATGCAAAAAAATCTTTCAGATTAGATAAACAATACCTTACCAGGTACTTCTCTCACTTCAGGACGACACAGGGACACCTATAAGACCAATTTTAACTGAGGTTGCACATATGTGCTTTACAGGATTTTTTTTTTTTGCCCACACAATATATTTTTTTTCAGATGCATAATGTCGTTTTGCAAATTAACACAAACCTGTAGCCTGTTATAGCCTGCCGGAGAGAAACTTGACATGTGAATCAAATATAAACCGGAGATGCGCTTTTATTTTGGAGAGAGAACACCATAACTTGTGCTGTCGCGCACATTAAAATCGAGTGCAGGCTTTACTGCCATTTCCGAAGAGACGGCTAGCTTTATCCCACTGATAGATGGGGTTTCCGATGCTGGCTGTCGGCTTCTAAACACTTCTGATAATGCTGACATTACTGGGAGAGCTAACGATGTCATTTAAAATATTAGTTGCCTCTGTGAGTCGCTGCCGCTCAGCTATTTTTCTGTCCGTGAAAACCCGCCTACTCCTGCCTGGGGTCCAATCAGAAACTGAAATTTTAAGTTAACTTCCGTTGCAATGTGAATGTAAGAGAGTTTGATAGTATGTGTAAGAGAGTTTGACTGTGAATGTAAGAGAGTTTGATAGTATGTGTAAGAGTTTGTAAGTTTTGGCCCATGGGGCCTCTCATATATTTCGCCACATTTGTGGCGCAAGCCTGATCAGCAGCAAGCTGGGCGGAGGCCTTCGCGCTCAGTACCGACTCAGTTTCTGCTGATGTCACCAGGAAGTGGGGTTGCTGTGACCAGGGCTGCGACGTCATGTTTCCGGTCGTTTCACGCTCACACACTCTAAGGCAAATAGTTGAGGATGCTGAACTGTTTCCTGCTAGGCAGACCCCGTTGCAGCAGGAGTTGCGTCCACATTGTTTATACAGCTGGTGTGTGTGTGTGTGTATATATATATATATATATTATATATTTCTTTGTCATCTCTTCCCCTCAGGGTCATCTGAGTGAAGGTTATGGGAAGCTGTGCAGCATCTACCTCAAACTGCTCATCACCAAAATGGAGTTTCACATTAAAGTGAGTCGGCCGGCCAATAAAACCGAGCGTCAGCCTCCCCCATCGCCCCCTCTCCTCTTCCCTTGTAATCTTTGCCCCAGATCCTCCTCCTGTGGGGGGGAAATTCCAGTTTACTCCTTATTATCCTTTGAAGAATCGGTAATGAAGCACTTTTATGAGACAGCTGAGCCGAGGCGTGGAGGTGACATGAGATACTGCTGCTGATGCTTTGCTCTCATGAAGCTGGATTCTTAGCCCTAACCGAAGGCAGTAAAGCTCCTTCATTCTCATTTCTGTTGGCAGATTGTTATAAATTTTGTCTCACACCTTCACAGCATCATGGGCGTAGATCTGTGGGCATTGCTGTGGGTTGGATACATTGTCCAGCGTCATCTTTGTGGACTGACGCGTAACCTGACGCACCTATTGCTGTGACTAAATAATTAACAAAGTGCCAATAAGCATTCTGATGAATTAATCATTATGCATCAACTGTAGAAATGATGCAAATAGGAATATGAAACATTTCAGATATCTGAGGTCTGAGC